TGAGAAATATCGATGGCTGAGGAGTGATACATCTGTCTCGTGTGTGCGAAATCGGAAGTTTCCGGGAGAAACGAGACCGTTCGGAGATGCATTTTGTTATGAACGACTGGGAGATACGAGATGTTCACATTGATTTTGCGCGGGAAAAAATCAGTATCAAAATCCGAGATTCGTGCTCTCATATATAAGCGAAAATATATAATCTTGTAAGATTTGCTTGTGTGAAAACATTTTTTAGTTCCACTAAAAATATCGTATTCTCATCGTTCAAGGATAATTTTTATGAATTTTGAGAGGGAAAGGTATGGGATAGAAAGAACGATGACGTCGAACCGATACAATTCTTAGCTTGAAGATATCGTTCTCTCGGTCCAGTATTTTTTCCTCTCAATTTGTGAAAATTCTTCTCGAATAACACAAAAATATGATATTTTTAGTGGAACTATATGTACAGAATTTCTTCATATAAACAAATTTTATCTTCACGTATAAGATTATATACGCTTGATTTATTATACGTGAGAATATGAGTCTTGAATTGATACTAATTTTTTTTCTGTGAAGTTGGAGAATAAGGGAACTGATTTCGGCTACGAACTCTGCAAGTCGAGAGAGAAGATTTCGAGCTCGCTGAAGCAAAAGCCGGAAAATGGAAAATTTTTACGAGATATCATTCGTATCGACACACAGCATCTCGTCGTCCAGGCGCGATAATTGAAGTCACGCTTCGTGGGAAGCGCGACCTTCGTGAAAAGGGGAGAAGAGAGAGAGAGAGAGAGAGAGAGAGATTGACCGAACGGACAAAGTATCGATGATCGTTGCCGCGTTACAAAGGGTTAGACAAAGGGCGCGCCTGCGACTGCACCGCCGCAACCCCGTGGATTCAGCCGCTACTAGCCCGGCAAAAAGCCGACGACGCGGACCCGATGATGCCGTCCGCGCGACGAAAAAGAGGACAGCTTTACCCTCCGTAAGGGAGCGCGCGGGGGAGAACCGACCGACCTGCCCGGACCTGAACCCGGTCCCGTGGAGGCCCCGAAAAGACGTTCGTTCGGCTCCTGAGAGCGGCGCAAAAACGTCCGAACTCTGCAGAGTCGGTTCCCGAAGAGGATCCCACAGCGAGCGACGAAAGTAGGAGGAGAGAAGCTTGCGACGAGGCAAGAGAGCGAGGGGCAGAAAACGAGAGAAAGAGACTGTCTATTTATGGAGAGAGAGAGAGAGAGAGAGAGAGAAAGGGGGGAGGGGGAGAGCGAGTTATTTACTACTCCAAGATTAGCTTTTCAAAAATTCCGAAGTGAGAGTTCGAAATTCGTCCGTGGCCTTCCGCAATAAAAGATACCGAAATGACTTCCCACTGATAATTGGATTTTCTCCAATACTCCGAGAATTAATAGTTACATTTATCCGTAAAATACATTCATCACCTGTGTCTAAATATGTAAGAAGAAAACGAGTAGTGTGAGGACTTCACTTTTCGGCCTTCTCGCGCGGGGAAAGATGAACTATCTGTGGGGAGTAGAGTTAAATTTAAAACTCATACAGAGAGAGAGAGAGAGAGAGAGAGAGAAAGTCTTACAAGTGCGTCTTACAGAGTTGTTAAAGACAGGGCAGAAACGAGGCGAAGAGCGGCCGAACGGTGAGAGCGAGACATGACGCGACGGCGGAGAGGATCTTCAGAAATGAAGCGGTACGCACCGGGGGTAGAAGAGACGGGACCAACTGCGCACTTCTCTCTCTCTCTCTCTCTCGACGGCCTCCGAGGCGTGCGCGAGCGCGGAGGTAAGGGCTGCGCCTGTATGCGCCCGCTCGTTCGAGATCAAGTTTTTCTCGAGTCCTCGAACCTCCGGGAGAGCGGCCAGGGGCCAGCCCGAACTCGAATCCGAGTTGATTTCCTGGCACGCGGTTCATCTTGTCGTTTATTCTCTCCCACTTTGCCATACCGCCTCCTCTTCCTTATCTTTCGCTCCCCCGTCTTCGCCCGATCATCATCCCCTGCTTCCCTCCGTGCCTTGTCCGTCTTTTCCAATTCCGCGGCACAGGACTGGACATGTCACGACCGTTGATTCCGGACTCCGTCGAGGGAGAGAGAGAGAGAGACTCCCGGATTTCCCGCGAATTCGCGCCAAATACCGCCGATCGAACGAAACAGTCGGAGCCCCCTACCGGGTCGAAATTTTTAATTTTTAATTCAAGTCTTCGAGCGGAGAAAACGGCAATAACTTTCTCATCTTCAGCATCAAAAGATATCACAACAGAAGATCTTTGAACGTTTAATGTAGAACTAAATTAAACTCGGACTAAAATTTCGACTCGGAGTACCACGAGAGGAATCTATCGTGGAATAACGATGGTATTTAGGGTTTTTTTTAATAATAAAAGATCGTTTAATTTGACTTTTGATGAATGAATGAAAATAGGATTTTAAAGGGACAGGTTAGAAAAAGGCAATGACGTGCCGCTTTAACCTCTGCGCTCTGTCCGAGCTATCGTGGCAGCGATCGGGGGATTCAAATTCGCCCCGGAGATCTTTGACGACAATTGTGCTCGTCCAAATTATGCAACTCGTGACAACGAGTAGAGAAACAGCCCCGGTGTAAGTACGGAATAAGAAGCGCGAATTAATTAGGATACGCTGCGTTCTAATAGAACAAGACGAGACGGCGGTGGCGGCGCGGCGCTTTCGTATAAATTTAAAACGCGCCCTGTAATTTGAGGAAACGTCCCGGGTCCTAAGCCCTATTTATGCAGCACTGAACCGGCTGTAAACCGTTCGTATTCACGATCTCCCTCCTCCGCATCCTTTCTCTCCCTACTACGAGGGCTCGTCTTTCTCCCCGCGCGAGTTGTCCTTCCACCCATCACGCCTCATCTCTAGAGATTCCTCTTCTTGTTGCCTTCCCCCCGTATCCCCTCCTCTCTCTCTTTCTCTCTCTCTCTCTCTACCTCTCCGTCTGCCAACTTCGTCTCTTTCATCTCTCTATCGCTGGCTCTAATTACACTAAAGGTATTGTTGCGTAACGTAATTCTCAGTTGGACGAATTATCGCGTCTGGCCAGCAAAAGACACGCGACACGTACGTTGCCGCCCTAATTATTGTGTCATCGAGAGTGAGAAGGAGAAATTAGTGAATGCCGGTTATATAGAGTCCGGTGAGGAACGATCATAAATAACGCCGAGGATGAAATGTCGAAAGTTCCCCCGATTCCTTTTGCGCACATTACGCGTATAACGCGCGCGCGTATTACACGTTCCTTCGTCGAGTTTCTTACGTCGTCGCCTACGCGACACGCGAGTCAGAACTTGTAGGAAGAAGAGGCCCGTGCGTCTCATTTTATCAATTTTGCATGTTACTCTACGCTTCTCGCGTTTTCAGTAAGAATTTTTAATCAGAACTTTTAACGTGAGTTAAATGTTAACGAGGTATTTCTCAGTCCCAGGAATTACGTAAATCGGATAAATTATTATCGCAGTTGCATTAAGATACTCCGCCCCGACGAAAGAATGGCGTGGCGAGTGGGAAACTGAAATCGAAAGGCGATAGAACCCCGATAGAGCGTGTAATTAAATAATTATAATACTTGTGTTTCGGCGGCGACGTCAATATTTGGATAAGGAAAATGGATTCCGTCGACTTCCACGGGAATCACACGCGGGGTGTGCGCGCCCATTTAATAAAGATTTCCTTTCAGAGCCCAATACATCATTAGTATCTCCCGGACAATTAATCACGCGTGTGAAATTATTACCTGTATTCTATAAATCCGTCTGCAGTTCGTTCAATTATGATGACGGCGACGGAAATGCGATGGGTGCGCGAAAAAAAAGATTTTACCGGCGCGGCAAATTTCTCAGTCGCTGTACGGTCAGCAAAAACATTTGCTTGAAACAGCAAAAAGATTTATTGGGATAGCAAGAAAATTTGTCAGGGGTATTAATTATATTTGCTGGGTATATGGCCAGCAAAATAATTTGGTCACGCCAACTAAACGTCCTGCTACAACAGTGAAATTATTCTGTCCGTCCAACAAGTTTTTTTGCCGTGCGCGTCACACTGAAGAAAAATTCACTATATTCAAGTAAATAATTGCTAAGCGGAGTATTGCAATAATTTATTTTATTTGGATTAAATGTAAATATCACTTAAACGTAGCACAGTGGGAGGAAAAAAGTGCTATTTAATCGAAATAAAATAAATTACCGCAACACTCCTTAGTAAATATTTACTTGAGCGTAGCAATTTCTTTTTTTCGGTGCAGAGTAACCGAGAAATTTGCCGGCAAAATATTTTTCTCCGTGTGAGCGCAAAAGCCGGAGGATCGGCTTGGCATATCGAAAAATCGGTGGACCCGCGCCACCCGCTCTCGAAATCGGCTCGATCGCCAATTCCTCTGTTCGCTCGCCGCGGGGTCGGGCGCGACAATAATAATCATCAAACGACAGATAATGATAATAACGATAATTCCGTCTTGACGAAAACACATCGGGACACTTTTAGCACATATACGCGCGTCCCAATAACTATCATTATCACCCCCTCCTTGCTTTTTTTTTTGCACATTCTACTCACGTCGGAATGAATCCTTATTGGATTGTCTGTAAACAAAAAAGTGGCTCCGTCATTCTGGCGCCAAGTGTGTAACTGTAATTCCGCGCGATACCTTTCGCCGTTTCGGCAATTAAAATATTCTCGCCGAATCTCTCTCTCCCTCTCCCTTTCTTCCTCTCGCGCGCGCGTAGATGACAACCTGGTCAGACGAAGGGGCGAACGAGCGAGCGAACGAGTCCGCGGTCTTATCCGGCAATCGAGAAATTACATTACGCGAGGCGCGCGCGCGCGCTCGCTCGCTCGCTCGCTCGCGCGGTACGGGAGTGGCGACGGTAGGGAGGGGAGAGAGGAGGAAACGCTCGAGAGAGCCGGACAAAAAGCACCGAATATCTTTCAGGAGCCGACGCATCATTAATATCACCGGGCACGATCAATCAAAAGACGTAGAACTCACTTTAGTGGACGTCGTACTGGGCCTGCCGCCGCCGAGGCCGATGGCGTACAGCTCCACCTCGTACCACTGAGCGCCGGTTTCCCGATCGAGAGCCGCCGCGGTGGACAGCACGCCCGTCTTCGTGTCGACGTCGAAGAGCCGGTCGACCTGGAAGCCGGTGCCGCCGGCGGTCACGTTCGTCACGTAATACTCGAGCTCGAGGTTGGAGGAAGAGCGGCGCGAGCGGGCGCTCACCCGCAGGATGCTGGTGCCCACCGGCTCGTTTTCGTACACGTTGCCGTCGACCTGGCCGCGGTGCTCCCACACCGGCTGATCGTCGCCGTCCTCGCTCGGCACGATCAAGGTCACGTAGGTCTCCGAGGAGCGACGCTCCGCTTGGACCGCCTCGTCGGTCGCCCGCACGCCCACCTGGTATTTGAACGCGCGCTCCAGGTAGTGCGCGTTCTTCGACGACGGGTACGGCAGTTTCATCGTGAGGTAGCCGTGGCTGCGCTCTATGCGGAACATGTCGGAGTAGTTGCTGCTGGAACGTAGCAGCTCGTAAGTTACCAAGCCGTTGGTGCCGGTGTCGAGGTCGCGTGCGAGCAGCTGAGTCACCAGGACCTCTTCGGGGGACTTGTGCTGGTGGTGGTGCGGGTAGTTCGAGCGGCTTACGTGTCGCGGTAGCACCACCGCCGACATGCTGACGAAGATCGGCGCGTTGTCGTTGACGTCCTCGACGATTACGACGACGACCTTCTCGGCGGACAGCCGAGCACTCGGCGGCTGCGCACGGTCGGTGGCGACCACGACCAGCTTGAAGTTGTCCACCTCCTCGCGGTCGATCGGCTGCAGCGTGTGTATCACACCGCTCGAGGGGTTGATGCCGAACCGGCGCACTTGATCCTCCGGCTCCTGGCTGAGGATCGAGTAGCTGATGACCCCGTTGTCGCCCGAGTCCGGGTCCTCGGCGGTGATGGTGACGATCGGCGTGCGCACGAGGATACCCTCGCGAATCTGCCGTACTATCGCGGTGGTCGGGAACACCGGCGGATTGTCGTTCGCGTCGATCACCTCGACGATCAGAGTGGTGACCGAGCTGAGCCTGGGGTGGCCGTTGTCGCTGCAGGTGACGTTCAGCATGTACCGCTGCAGATCCTCGTAATCGAGGGGCTTCCTCAGGTACAACGTACCGGTCAGCGGGTCGATGTAGAAGGTGTCCCTCCGGTTGCCGGCTGATATTGCGAACGACAGGTCGCTGTTGTTGTTGAGGTCGATGTCGGTGGCCTTGAATCTCAGCAGCTCGGTGTTGATCGGCGCGGTCTCCAACACGGAGATCCTCGGCTTGTTGTCGACGAAACGCGGCACGTTGTCGTTCTCGTCGGTCACCTCGACGCGGACGGTCGCGCTCGACGACAGCCGAGTCTCCAGGCCGGCGTCGTGCGCGACGACGGTCAGCACGTAGCTGTCGAAGGTCTCGCGGTCGAGCTCCTTCACCAGCGAGATCTGCCCGGTCGCCTCGTCGATCATGAAGTTGCCGTGCTGATTCCCGTCCTCCAGCGAGTAGAACACGTCGCCGTTGAGGCCCTCGTCGGCGTCGGTGGTGTACACCCGCAGCAGTTGCGTGCCGATGGCGGCGCCCTCGCTGATCTGGACGTCGTAGGGCAGCCGTTGGAACTGCGGCACGTTGTCGTTCACGTCGGTGACGTAGATGGTGACCTTGGCGCGGTCGTGCAGCCGATTCACGCCGTTGTCGGCGACGAACACCTCCAAGGAGATGGAGCTACGGCCGGTGTTGGTCATCAGCAGCTCCCGATCGAACACGCGCATGGACTTGATGAAGCCGTTCTTCGGGTCGACGATGAAGTCCTGCTGGTTGGACGGCAGGGAGAATATGAGGTCGGCGTTACGGCCGACGTCGCGATCGGTCGCGAGCAGTTTGCCGACGAAGGTGTCCGGGGGCTCGTTCTCGCGCAGGTGGAAGCTGAAGCTGCTGTTGGTGAACTCGGGCGCGTTGTCGTTCTCGTCGATTACGTGCACCACCATCGGCACCACGGAGCTCCTGGCCGGCTGACCCTGGTCCGACGCGGTGATCTCGAGGGCGTAGTAATCCTGCTGTTCGCGATCGAGCTCCTTCTTCACGTACACCTGCCCGTCCGGGAAGATCCCGAAGCGACCCTCCGCGTTCCCGTCGGTCACGCTGTAGAACACCTGACCGTTCGCGCCGAAGTCCGTGTCGGTAGCCGTCAGCCAGAAGAAACGCTCGTTCACAGGCGTGGATTCGGGCAGGGATGTCTCGTAGTTGGTCAACTTGAAGACCGGCGTGTGGTCGTTCACGTCTTCGATCGTCACGCGGACCTGATACTGCGCCGACAACGGCGGACTGCCGGAGTCGGTCGCCGTCACCTCCAGGTGGAGAATCGTGCCGGGCGGCGCTCTGATCGGCTTGCCGAGGTATATGATACCGGAGTTCTCGTCGACCTTGAACTGCTCGCCGGGATTGTGCGTCAGGGAGTAAACGATCCTGGCGTTGGCGCCGGAGTCCCAGTCTCGGGCGCGAGCCAGACACACCTGCTGGCCGACCGCCGCGTTCTCGTTCAGCAGTATCTCGTCTCCCCATTCGCCCTTTGGGAACCTCGGCGGGTTGTCGTTCACGTCCTCGACGGTGATGTTGACGATCGTGTGGCCGTACGCGAGATTGGCGTGCGCCAACAACTGCAGCCTGTAGTAGGTCTCCTGCTCGCGGTCCAGGCAGCCGGCGGTACTGATCACGCCGGTGTGCGGGTCGATCCTGAAGTTGCCCTTCGGATCGCCGTACACGATCGTGTAGTCCACCTTGGCGTTGCCGTATTGCGGCGTGGTGCGCACCGTGCCGATCTCCCTGCCGAATCCCCTGGGCATGGAGGTGCAGTCGCCCCTGTCCTCGGAGACCTTGAAGTCGTAGCCGTTGTAGTTGTCGAACTCGAGGTGCCTCAGGTTGTCCTTGCGGACGATCTCCACGATGGCGTTCGTGAGCGTGATTTGGTCGCCGGTGTCCCTCGCCGAGATGGTCAGCTCGTACAGGCTCTTGTATATGACCTTGGCCGAGCCCTGAAACGCGACCTCGCCCGTTCTCTCGTCGACCGCGAAGAGCCCTTCACCGCCGTACTCCAGGGAGTACCTGACTTGCGCGTTCTCCCTGGCGTCGGCGTCCGTCGCCGTCACCTTGCCCAGCACGCTCCCCGGCGCGGTGTCCTGAGAGATGGACATCAGGTATCGCCAGGGGTAAAAGACCGGCGTGTTGTCGTTGACGTCCTCCACGGTCAACACCACGGTGGCCGTCGAGGATTGCACGGGCGTGCCTTGGTCCTTGGCTATCACCAGGATCCGATACTCCGCTATGGTCTCTCGGTCGAGGCTGACCTTGGTCGTCAGCTGACCGCTGAGCATGTCCAACGCGAAGGTATTGGGGTAATCGTGCAAGACGCTCGGGTGGAAGTAGTAGGCGACGCTACCGTTGGTACCCTGATCGTTGTCCACGGCGGTGAGGGCGGCCACCAGGCTCTGCGGAGGCGTGTCCTCCAACAGGGTGACGTTGATCATGCTCTCGGAGAAGCAGGGCGCCTCGTCGTTCTCGTCGAGGACGGTGACCTTCAGATGCGTGGACGCGTACTTGGGATTCGGGCCGCCGTCCCGAGCCGACACGTGCAGCTCGACACTGCCTTTGACCTCGCGGTCCAAGGTGGCCACGGTGGTAACCAGGCCGGTGTCGCTGTCGATGGCGAACCAATGCTGCTCGTTGCCCATGGCGAACTCGTAGTGGATCTTCGCGTTCACTCCGGTGTCCGAGTCCGTCGCCAGGATGCTGGCGACGAAGCTGCCGATCGGCGACAGCTCCGACAGCACCGCCGAGTACTCGCTCTGCTGGAACACCGGCTCGTGGTCGTTCACGTCGTTCACGTGGATCACGAGGAAGGCCGTGGAGGATCTGGGCGGTACGCCTTTATCGGTGGCTACCATCGTCAGGTTGTACTTGGGTATCTCCTCGCGGTCCAACCGACCGTGGACCCGCACGATGTAGAGGCCCTTCGTGTGCTCCAGCCGGAAGTGACCGAGCTCGTTACCGGAGCGGATCTGCACGGTGGACCGGCCGTTCAGGCCCTGGTCGGTGTCGACCACCGCGACCGCCGCCACGATCGAGTCGTTCGCGGCGTTCTCGTCGACGGTGGCGAACTGGAGGCCCGCGTTCGACGGGAAGAAGGTGAACTCGATCTGGGGCGTGTGGTCGTTCGCGTCCAGCAGATTCACCGTCACGTAGGTGCGGCCGTCCTGTCGGGGCGAGCCGTGATCGCGAGCGAAGACCGTGATGACGCAGCTCTTGGGGCAACCGTCCTCCCGGGGTGACACGTTGCACATCTGCTCGGGACACCTCGGGGGCTCGGCGGTGGTGATCGTGCCCGTCTCCGGGTCTATGGTGAACTTCCGCTCGTTGTCCGGCAGGTAGTACGTCAGCTTGGAATTGTCCTCCGAGTCCTTGTCGGTAGCGTGCACCGTGAGCACCTTCGTGCCGATCGGCGCGCTCTCGTTCAACGACACGACGTAGTCGCTCTGCTGGAAGACGGGAGGATTGTCGTTCACGTCCAACACCGTCACGTTCACCAGCAGGTAGCCGAGCCGCGGTGGCTGGCCACGGTCGCGAGCGCAGATGTTCAGCGAGTAGTATTCCACCTGTTCGCGGTCCAGCTTGCCCGTGGTCTCCAGGTGGAGGTACGACGCCTCACCGGTGGGATTGGCGGTGACCTGAAGACGAAACTTCCCGTCCGTGTTGCCGTCGACGATGAAGTAATCGTCCAGGACACCGTTATCCGGCGTGTCCCTGTCCGTAGCGGCGTCCAACAGCAGCTTGGTGCCCGCCACGGCGGACTCGGAGAAGCTCACCGCGATGCTGGCCTCTGGAAATTCCGGATCGTTGTCGTTGATGTCCAGCACCAAGATCCGCACCTCGATCGGGTACGTCGGCAGGCTCGAGAGCACGACCAGGTCGAAGCGATCGCTGCTGAGGGCCTCGCGATCGAGCACCTTCGCCGTTCTTATCTGACCGGTCTCCGGATCGAGCAGGAACTCCTGCGGCAGCTCGTTGAATCTGTACGTGAAGTCGGACTTGACAGGTATCTGACCGACCAACGTTCCCCTGGGCTCGCCCTCTTTGACCTCCAGCTGCACCCTCGTGTCGACCGCTCTGCTCTGCATAGCCAGGCCCATCGCGGCGCTGTCCTGAGGCAACATCGGTGACCTTCGTGGCACCAGGCGCGTGACCCTTTGAGGTAGGTTGCGCGTAAAATACTCGGACGCCGTGCGTCGCTCCAGGTCGCCGCCGGCGGCGACCCGGCCGCCATGTTGCTCCACCGACAGGAGTCCCAGGAGCAGGGCTAGGACCATCGATCTCCTTATGATCATCTCTTCTTGTCCCGCGACACGCCCACCTGCCTTAGCCAAAACCCTCTACGACTCGTCGGCATAAAAATGCGTACGCACTACCTGTCGTTCTTCCTCCTCATGGTGGCCGGTGATAATCTCGTCCTTCACGTCTACGTAGTACCGGCGCATTGTACACGCGACATTCTAAGGATGGAGATTAATCGCGCGCGCGACAACGTGAATCGCCCAGTTGCCGTCGCATTTCCTTTCTTTTTCTCTTCCCCACCTGGACCAGGGTCCCGATTTAAACCCGCGCACCCGAAGGTGGGTGCTTTCTTTTCCGTCTCTCTTTCTCCCTCTCTCTCTCTCCTCTTTCTCCTCCTCCTCCTCCTCCTCTTTCTTCCCTCTATATCCGTTTCTCTCTTTCTCCCGCTCTCTCCCCTTATCTCTCCCCGTCCTTCCCTCCTTCTCTCCTCCTTTCCCTCGCCGCTGAAAGTCAAGTGTACACGAGAGGAGACTTCACCCGACAGAGAGGGCAGTGACCCGCCGAGAGCCGCGCCTCGCGAAACGCGTCTGCGGATGCTCATGCGAGCACGCCGGACGTTTCTTCTCGCTTTTCCGATTATCGGCCCGGCCGGATCGTGCCGGCGACCTTCCCGAAAACGGGATTCCGCGACGAGATCCTCCACCCGCGGCCGCTGTTGCTGCACTCCTCTTCCGGCCTCTCCGCTTCGGGCATTCCTACGTCACGTGCTTCGGGGCTCGCCCCTCGCGCTCTGTCATATCTCTTCTTTATTTTTCCCTCACGACGAGTACCACGACGGGATGCTGCGAGAACGCACACTGAACGGCGAAAGCCGAGGCACACTCGACGCGACCTCCGGAGGTCGCGAAACACTCGGAATCCTCCACGGAAAATCCACGGCCCTGTTATCACTGATACCCGAGATGCAGAACACTGGACACAGGAACGCGGGCGGACGAGGGTCGCGACGGCCGAAGCACAAGAACACGGTATGTACGCACACGCGTAAGTAGCCCCCGTGTGTACCCTCGCGGCGGTGTACCGATTCGACCGAACGAGTTAGTAACCGAGCCTCTCGGGCGAAAGAGACGGTCCCGCGATTCACCCTTCGCGCGCTCGCCGGGCTCTCGCGGAAATCGTCGGGAAGTTCACGCGATCGCGATGCTCGAGTTCGCCGATCGCGGGGAGCGATCTCACGAGCTCAACAACGGGTTCGCTAGCGCGCGCGCGCGCGCCCGTTCTCTCTCTCTCTCTCTCTCTCTCTTCACGCTCGCCTCGGGGTAGACGTTATCCGAGGGGTGAAGAAACGATAAGCACGCGCGGGGTGGCGAACGAACGGGGCGAAGGACAGGGTGAGGGGGTGCGGATGGGGGGGATAGGAAAAGGGAAGGCAAGAGGCGAAAAACCGGGGCCGAATGAGCGCGACGACGAGTAGTAAGGGCCCACCGAAAGAACGCGCACCGCGGAGAGAAAATCGCCTTCCCAAGGACTGATCTGACTCGACTGAACCAAGCCGGTCTCAGAACTTCGCCGCTGCCGGGAGAGGCATTCTTCGGGCTGGCTGATGCCGTCCCTCTCTGATCCATCGGGCCCCAACGTGCTGTTTCGCGTTCTCCTCCTCCCGCTCGCGACTCCTCCGTTCGCTCGCTCTCTCTCTCTCCCTCTTTATTCTGCCTCTCCCCTTGCAACCCCGCGCAAGACCCACCGATACCACCTTCTCCGTCCGCTCCGAGAGACATCGTGACTGTAGCACTCCGTCCCTCTCTTTCTCTGCCCGCGTAAGTCCCGCTCGCTCTCACCGATATCGCTCCCTCTCCTTTCCTCTTCCTCGCGTCCCCCCTGGCCCCCTCTTTCGTGTCAAGAAACGTTCGACCTCCTGTCTTCGTCGCTCTCTCCTCTTCTTAACATTCGTTTCGCTCGCTCTTATCACGGTACTCTTTCCCATCTCCCTCCTCTTCCCTCCTGCCCACTCCCTTTCCCTCCTATCTCTTCGTTTATACCACTACCTATCGGCATACGTGCCTCTTTGTCCGTCGTACAGATCGTACGGTCTCTCCTTCGCACTTGCTCTTCGTCGGGGCCCGCTGTCTCAACCGGGGCCTCATTCTCCTGCCTCCCCCCTTCACCCCCACCTCGCCCCTCTCCAGCCTTCCCTCTCCGCCATCTTCCACGCGCGATCCTTCCACCTTCGACTCGCCTCGCGCATCCCGCCGTCGTCTCGCTGAGATATTCTCCCTTTTGCCCTCGAGGAACGAGCAATGCGGAGGCTCAGGTATGCAAGATGGCCGCCGTGTGCTGGAGCCTCGATGCGACGAGGACGTTGCTTCGCTTTGACGGGAGTGAGGAAGACACGATGAAGACGAGAGAGAGAGAGAGAGAGAACGACGAGTTGGTGAGAGAAAGAGGAGGAGAAAGCAAAAGAACGAAGGAAAGGGACAGAAAAAGAGAGAGAGAGGCAGCTAGAGCGATACCGAAGACCGACGAGAAAAGGGATGACGAGGACGGAGAACAAGAGATGAATAATGCGTGGGGGAGGAGGGGAAATACCTGGAAGGGCGAGCAGGGGGTGCGGGCTGCCACGCGGAGAAGCGCGGCGATGGCAAAGGGACGACGGGGAGGGAGAGTGGGCGAGAGTCGCCGGGGTCCTCCGGACCTATCCGGGCGCTGTAGATACATATCCGCGGCCCTACGCCACTTTTATAACTAATCCGTTACCGCAATCGAGCGTTCCGCTCGATCCTCTCGGTCTTCTACCTACGAACTAAGCTCACCGTCTCCTTCTGGTTCTCGCCTTCTCGCCGCTCCTCTCTTTCTCTCCGACGCACGCACGCAGCTCGCTTGTTCGCTCGTTCGTTCGCCTGCTCGCTCGCTCGCTCGCCTGTTCAACCGTTGGTTTCCTTTAATCTAGTTTACTGGGTATGATGCTGTATGAATGGGTATGCTATGTACATCGGCTCGCCCTTTGATAAGTCCGCCGATTTACGTACACGGGACAAACCTTTTCCCATCCTTCTCCACGTGTCGCACGGCTCCCCGTCCCCTCAGCAGCTACCAATCTTCTCCCCGATCGTCGCTTCACGTTGTGAGCCCCACGGAACAGGCGACAGATCGTTTCGGATTGACTCACGTTACGTGGGCTCAGATAAGCGTGAGAGTACGAGCACGCTTTTGACGAGCACCCTGGAGGAATGAAGCCCTTATCTATCGGGTGATGTCGGGAAAAATGGACGAGTCGCCGCTTTGACCTGGAAAACGGTGGAAATCAGAGAAGCGTTCATCGATGACAATACGCGACGATACGTTTAGACACATACCTTCTCGTGTGGAATGAGCCGCGGCGTAAAGTGCATTCGTGAATTAGTGATCATGTAAAACGGTCGCCTTATCTCTGCGCAAAAAAGAAAGAATATAATTGTAGTTAATGACTTGTAAAAATTGTAGTAATAACAATAAAACACGGTAAAAAAATTTGCGTTAATTTAACGCAAGATGAATATGTGAGAAAATAATACAAATGTTACGTCAAAAATTACCGCATAATTAAGTGAAAATTAACTAATTTGTCAACACTGAAATATAAAATATGTTAACACTTACACATATTGAATATCGACTCACACAGAAAATATTGCGGTAACATACACAATGTGTTAAATTAACACAAGCGTATGTTAAAAAATTAATGTCACTTTTTTTATAATTTTCATAAAATTTTTTAATAATTTTATCAGAAATTTAACACGAAAATTTGTTAACAAAAACTGACTTCAACACAAAGTGTTTCTCGCTGTGTACGATGCAACTAACTGTATATATTTTTTGTCGAACGGTGAAATCTGAACGGTTAACTATTAAGACAAAGAGGCGGATCGAAGCTCGACTCGAGGACTTGTCTCCCGTCGACGGATGCAACAGAACGTTGAATCGCTCGCGAAAGCGCATGATTAATAATCCCGCGTTCCACGGTGGTAACGCGCGCGTTCCGTATGCCATTTGTTGTTCCGCGATATTAGAAAGGTCACGACCCGACGGAGGTAACCGGTGGGTCGGGGGGAGGGGGGGGGGACGAGAGCGAAGGAATCCCGACATTTATCCGGATATGGAAAAGCCGGGACACTGTGCGCGCCAAAATCATTAATTACATAAATCCGCGCGCGTATCGCGTTTCCTTCAACGCAAAAATACGCGATCTTGATCGATAAGAACCGTCCATGCGATGTATTATATGACGCGTCGTACGCATTCCCGTTGCGTCGACGAACCACCAGGTTAGTCCAGGTTCCAGTCTCCGACAATTGGTCTGTTCCTTCCAGCTGAACTGGCTCTGAGCTAGTTCAAGAAATTTACATACACATCTTGAAGCGCGCGTACAAGATTCTCACACTTCGGTGTACGTAAATTTCTTCAACTAATGCGGCTGGTTCAGCGAACAGACCAATTATCGTAACAAAAATGCCTACGTGCGAACTTTGGCGACCTCACCTTGGCTCACTCGTTTGTAAAGATGCAGGTCGCGTGCGACCGTTTCCGTTCTGATTTCGTGCCGATTTGGTGTGAAATGTTTGAGCATCTTGCCGGAGCACAATATACGCGGGGGAATTCGTATTTTCATCGTTACGACGCTAGCTGATCTGTTCGCGTCTTCTTTACTGAATTCGGTAATAACCCATGATGCCTCATGATGCCCCTTCCGTCGATAAAGCAGCGCTCCTACGATAATATGTCAGAGGTCGATATATTTTATTCGAGTTTTCGTAGAGATGTCAGCATCCCTCAATTATGCTCGGAGACGGTAATGTTTAATTTGCAGTTCTAATGAAATTATCAGTCAATACTATTGACTATCGATTCAAATGAACGCACATGTAACTCGCTCAAGGTAGCAATATCATAAAAAGATTTCAGAAATTCGTTGAAATTTGCACTATATATAGATTTGAAAATAACCTAATTATTGACACGTAATTTGAAAACGATTAATCATTCGAAAACTGAGATATTAGCAACTGAAAATGAGGCTTTGTATTTCATTGAGTATTCCGCATATTTTACAGATTTCAAGTCTTATTGAAAAACTATTATATTTTTCAAGGAAAACTGAAAAATAAATCTGTATGTCGCTAGAAATTTACTATCATTTTTTTCCCATTTCTGATATCGTGTAATCAATATGGCTGCTAAAAATAATTAAGCCGAAGAAAAAGACGAATAACATTCAGTGGTTTGAGAAATTTCTTAAACACAATAGAAATTTCCACAAAGGATTTTATGGCTGAAAACCACAACAGATGGCAGGATGATGTAAATATCTTCCATTAGAAAAGAAAAAAAAAAATTTCCTAAAACTGAAACACGTGGAACAGATGGACCATATATTAGGATTAGAAGGAAAAATAATACGAAAGAAAGCTATTATAAAAAGGTAATACAAAACATGAGATAAAAATCTGAAACATATGGCATTACAATGGAAAAGAAAAAGAAGGATCTCTATGATTGTAGAAACCAAACTAACAGCTCCAATAATTTATGGTACTATAATGCCAAGATTTATTTACAAAAACATATCTTCCTTAAGTTAACGTATTAAAAAATTATTTTTTTTTAATTGGGCCTACTACTTAGGTGCACCATAAGCGTCCGGCATTCGTTCTATCGTGTATCTGTGCTGAGATACGTACATTATTGGCACACCCGGTATTTTTCGTATCCGCCGCTTCAGATCTTTATCATTAGTCGCGACGATGTAACATTTGTGCTGCAATAATAACACAATGCAATAATACACAGTTTAGCGTTTCTGTTTCTCCACACTAATTCAAATCAAATTTTTATCACTCATGTTATACACAGACATTTCTTAAATTTCTATCATGAGATACATGTACTTACTTGTGTAACTCTGTTTACGATACAATCGTCTGCATATGTTCCTCTATGCATACAGGTTAATCGTTCGAATCGTGGATCCTTGATAATCTTCAACGCTAATTTATACTTTTGTCCAAGCTTCTCCAACTCGCCCATCACACAGTCTGTTATATATGGTATACACTTTGCATAAAGGCAATGCATCATATTTTGTATGATGTCCAATTTGTTCTTGATGGAAAAATTGATGAAGTTCGTATCGATTAAGATGTGGTACGGTGGACCAAGCTGCGTGTTGTATTGGAAAAACAACGCAGAAGATTGTTGTGGCCTTAAAACATAAGACATCTTACAGTTTTAAAATATAAATATATTTCATAACATGTAATCACTTTATAATGTTGTATACAAAAGTATTTTGTTACAGATAAACTATTGAATTACTCATTAAACTAAATATCTGACATTACTTACGCTTCTGTAACTTTTATCTTAGCCTTGTCTTCTTTTGGAGCTTTCTTAGATGGTTGCCGTTTCTCTGGTTTTCTGCAAAAGAGTTTGATCTTGTTCTATTGTTATACATTATTTAGGAATATTTAACAATAAGATGTTGGAAATGTGAAATATCATATTAGCTTACATTCGTGAATCACTCAAACTGATCATCTTTTTCATCTGAGCGAATCTTTGCATCACTACCTTACGCGTTTTTTTATTTTTCCCCTGAAACAAATAATTAATTCTATAATACATCCATATAAATTGTGAATATAGAATAAAATATACTTAGAAATTTGAAAACAATAAGTAAATATATATAATCTTATAACTCGTAGATTTAAGGTTATGTGTGCCTTTCAATTTATAAATATATATGATTTTAATGCGTTGCTTAGTAAAAATAAAATTCTTACCATTGTAATAATTTTCGTATATTCAGCTTTTATCGTAAAAGTAACAATAAAAGAGTGAATATATGCGAATGTATAACAAACATTCAAAACACGTAATAAATGCAATCTTAACTTTCTCCACACGTGATGCTTCTGTATGACTGCGTTCGTGAATACTCACTGAGCGTTGAATATCTTTCAATTGGCCAATCAAAAAAAGAAAGAGCAAAAATTTCTTTATCATGATTGGTTAATAAACGCTATTCTATTCGAGTAAAATTTCTGAATGCATCCCAGTGTAATATTTCCGAACGCAGTCTAAATTTTACTAGCGGCTGCATTTCGAAACTTACAGCCAATAATAAAATTCTATAGTTTATACAGCGTTTTCGAATTGCTGACTTAACTTGGAGTCATCATACTGCGTATCGATTGGTGCATTTCTGAAAATGCAGAGTTAACCAGTTGGTTAGATTAACTGGAGTTGATGAAAATGGAAAATGGAAAATTTTACTGCTTAAATTTTTCTATATGCTTCCGGCCTAAAATCAAATTTTCTTATTGGAAAAGAAATTGAATGAAATGAGTTCTACACTATTAAACATTTTTATTCGAAGAATTTAATAGCTGCGCAGATCGAAGCCGAGATGAATGAAGGAGATTATGTTGAAGGAGATTATGTTATCTCTCGAAGGAGATTATGTTGAAAAATAAAATTTATTTTCTCCGAGAAAATATATTTTACTTGTTTTTTCATCAAACTATTCAAACTTTTATTTTCGTATGAATGTACTGGCATATTTATATCTCGTCGATATGTTTAATTGCAGTTATATAATTTTAAATGTAACAATAACTTTATATCGAAATTACGCTTGAAGTAATATAACTGTAATTAAACGTGTCGACCGAGTATATATATAAATATACATATAAACTACGATGTTACTGAAGTAGAAGAACGTTGATTTTCTACAATCAGGCAATTAAAGATTGCAACACTCTATCTCGGCCATGTGTCTCTTGAGAATTGAGAAAAAATTACTTTTATGGACGTGGGACGCTTTGGTAAAACCAGTTTGTGAAACTCGTCGGAAAAAAGTATTTCGCAATGGATCACCTGACTCGTTGAAAAAAAGGTTTTACAATGAGTCATCTGACCTCGCACGCCGCAGGTAGAGGCTGGAAAAGAATTCGAGAAAATTAACCCATTAACTGCCATTAACTGCCAAATTTGTTTTTTGAAATTTTTGGCCGGATAAGTTATATATATGCACAAAAAGTTGTGTAACAGTATAATTATATTCAAATCACAATCCCCAAATGAGGATCGTGGCAGCTAATGGGTTAAACAAACCAATGTTTTTCTTTTTTGTCCTTTTCTTTTATTTGAAAGGAGAAAGAGTCTATCGCAGACAGATCTTTCGCGCGGTAAAACCGTTACGCCGATTACGAAATATTCGAAAAGGTTTGAGCAAATATATGCGTACGCAGCTGCGAAGAAAGTTGTTACACACTGCGCATGCGCATCCCTCACCACGCGCATGCGCATCCCCACCATACGCATCCCCATCGTGATTTACCTCGGGCATCGATCAAGGAGAGACCACTCCGGCGTTAGACGTTAGGGGTGTAGGTTCGAGTTTTCTCAGAAGCCATTTCCGAGACTTTCCTAACCTAATCGTTGGAGAAGAAAGAAGCTGTGTGTGGACATAGAGTTTGTGATCGTGATTCGTGCACCGAGATGCCGAAGAAATCGAACAAGACACCGTCCTGGGACAGTCGTGGCGGCGGCGCAGCCCCTCCTCTGGACAACAAGCGTTACGATAAGCATTATTTTGGTAAGTAACCGAAACACCATTTCCTTGTTCTCGGCGATTGCGCCGATATCCGTTTGATATCGTCACGCGCGAGGAGGATATCCATCCGCTGTTTCTTCCACGTTCTCGATGCTCGTTACTTTTCACAACCGACGTAATCATCTCTCCACCGCAGCCTCGCTTTGTTCCCTTTCGGTCACACGTGGCTATCGAGTACGCGCGAAAGAAGCAAAATGGACACTACCGCCATGCAGAGTTCTACGCATCAGCTGCGTACGTGCGTAAACGCGATAACGTCGAGGCGGAATGGACTCGGGCGAACGTGCGATTGCGATTTATCGGGGTAGATTTCCGCGCGAGGGCCGAATTAATAGCGAACTCCGTGCTGCGAGACGCCGAAGCGTTTCGCTATTTTTACGCGGAATTATCTGAGCGCGAAGAAACGACGCAACACGTCACGGCTAAGGTTTTCCTGGCTCGTTTGAATTGTCGTCGTTTCATGAAACGGTAACGTAATAATTTCAGAGCGAATGCGTCGGCATCCGTCGAATACACTCGATCCTCCTCGTCCTGGAAACGAACGAAGCCTTTATCGGTCGGAGCGAACAAAGCCGCATTGGAATTGAGCAAGAATTTCAATAGCTGCGCTCGATTTTGCAAATCGCAGATGCATATCGGTTTGCTCTCATGATTATCTTATGAAATAATGTCTAGCTAATGAAACAGCCGATGAAACAACTTTCTTGGGGCAACCGGAACAAACGGATGTTTCCGATTTTCAAAACTGAACGCAGTTGATATGACATAGGCGGGAAAATTTGTTATGAATGTTTACAACTGATCAAGTTTTATTCACTGCTTCACGATTAACGCTTCACGCATGTGTGGCATTGTTTACGCTCATGTTACGCTGAATGCTACACCAGCAATGATTGTCACATTTATGTAACGTGATATATTTCGCCCGATGTTTTATCAGCCGATAAAGACGCACTCGTGTTATATTCGATATTTTTGTGCTAGGCTCAATTTCGGCATAGCCACCCCTGCGTTCTCCACACATTCCACAAGTATGTGTCATCACCCATGAGCGGGAAATCCAGGGAATTAGGGATACCCCATGCTTTCTTATCTGCTTTACTTTTTTCTACCTGCTTTTTTTTTTTTACCTAAACATCCGGGTTGCATTCCCACGGTGAATACCTGCGTCGAATTACGGCGCCAAATCATCTGCTGTTGATGACGCAGTAGTAGGTCTGTTTTTCCTTTACCCCATGTTTTCTTATCTGCTTTACTTTTTTCTACCTGCTTTTTTTTTACCTAAACATCCGGGTTGCATCCCCACGGTGAATACCTGCGTCGAATTACCGCGCCAAATCACATCTGCCGTTGATGACGCAATAGCAGGTCTGTTTTTCCTTTATACTGAACTGGGTTGCAACTGGTTTTTTCTATTTAAATGAAACGGGTGTGGGACTCAGCTTTAAAGGGAAGAGGAACAAGAATTCAACGCAACGCTAGTTCAGCTGAGATAAACAGGCCTAGCGTATCCATATATTATCTTTGATTCGGTTGAGATTGCACTGTCATCAGTATCGTAAGCTTATTTTTGTATGCTATCAATTAAAAAGTGAAGTCAATTTTTATAAATTATAAAATTTTATAATTCATCTCTTGAAAGTTAGGCGGTCATTTCTTTTTCTCTCGTACGTCTGTATAATTGATCTTTTAATAATGCAATGTTTCATAAAAATTCTAAACGTACTTTGGAAGTTAAAATTTATAAAAAGGAAAACTCCAAATTTCAGCGTGGCGTGGGATACACGTGCGTGAACGCGTCAATTCGAGAATTTTGCTAATGTTGCCACTTTCGAACGGTCGATTTATCTTAAGTTGTGTTTGTTCACAGCTCATGACAACCGTAATGCAAGACGTATTTTGGATCCTTATGACGGTACTAGACTCCGAGTATCGTTCAAGACTCAGAGGCCGGTTAACAAGCAGATTAGGCGTAATTTGGTGAATTTGGACGAAGATATCCCAATGACGACGACTTCCAATAACAATACAAGGCAGGTGACTATCCGAGAGAGAGGACGTGGAAGTGGAAGCAGAGGAAGGAATAGCCCTCTGCCAAGCAGAAATTTCCAAGCGGGGCAGTTTATCGGGCAGATGAGAATGCGAACAAATCGATTGGGCGAATCCGATTGGTATAAAATTAGCGTAAGTAATACCTCTGTTTTACACGAGCTATGTCGTTTGCATGAAACTGTAAATCTACTATATAAATTATGCATTACAATTAGATACCATATGGTCACAAGTATGAGAAGGACTATGTCATAAGGAATCTATTGAACTACATGGCGCCTGAAGTATTTGTACCTATTACTGTAAGTACGACTTTTTTTTTGTGTTTACAAAGTTAAGTTACACACAACAACAATAAAACATATATTGCATTGAAAGTGTAACTTGAAGGTTCTTGTGTGGTCTAATTCACCTGTTTACTTACAGTATAAAGTAATGGACAACATTGCTTCCTTTTACGTTGACGATCAGAAGGCAGCGATCGCATTGGCAAATTGCGACCGCAAACTCACGATGACTGATGGCTTCAAACTGCAGATAAAAGTGAAGCCGGGATTCCCGCAGTGTGAGATTGATGAGAAACTGAAAGAACGTTTGAAGCAAGCTATGGCGAAGCGTTACATAGCTGACACGAATGCCTTGGATTTATCGAAGTTCCATCAAGATCAAGGTTAGTACAACGACAAAATTGCAGTAGACCAGTGAGGAGAAAGTATCGTTAATAAAACCGTGCGCGGTTCTAACAAATCTCAATTAACGTCGGAATATTTATTATATTTGTACTTTTTCTATAATTAATATAAATATTGTTTTTTGCAGATCTTGTTTCTGATTATTTTTGCGCATTATTTCGTCCCCCACTGTTGATGGCAGTGTTAGATATTGTGGGTCAACATATACCGACGCTGGAGGCTTTAAATTTGGAAGGCAATAAGATCCACATAATCCAAGGGCTCAACGTTCTGAGTAAGAAGTTTCCAAAGTTGAAGATACTTTATATTGGTGACAATAAGGTAGGATGGAAAGATTATGTGCCATTAATATTATCGCTTTTGATAACAATTACTTAAAGTATTTGCTCTTCTGATGCACTAACAAATTAATCGCGTATTACAGATCCGGGAAATGAACCAACTGGATGTTCTGAAAGATTTGAAATTGGATGAATTGCGATTACAAGGCAATCCTGTTTGCAAGAAATACAGATCTCGGCAGAACGATTACGTTAGGTAATGTAACGCCAAGATCCTTCTTTCGTCGAAAAGTTTTCAGGATTAGTTGTCTGCATGATGTAGTAAAACATTGCGATAATAATTATTTAAATATCTCCTCATATATTCTTCAGAACTGAATTCTTATAACTAATTTTCCAACATTTTTTTATTCAACTGGCATTTGCAGGTATTATTATAAATTTCAATTAAAATTTTGCAAATCCATTTTCTTTGCATCGAGAAATTGATGTGAAACTTGTTTCAAATTGTTTAGAATAGAACAGATTTTGTTACAATTAATTTGAAAGATTTTAGATTTAGTTAAATTATTTTACACACACACACACACACACACTCTCTCTCTCTCTCTCTCTCTCTCTCTCTCTCTCTCTCTCTCTCTCTCTCTCTCTCTCTCTCTTTCTCTCTCTCTTTCTTTCTTTCTTTCTTTCTTTCCTTCTTTCTTTCTTTCCTTCTTTCTTTCCTTCTTTCTTTCCTTCTTTCTTTCCTTCTTTTTTTCTTTCTTTCTTTCTTTCTTTCTTTTTTTCTTTCTCTCTATTTATCTATCTCCATCGTAATATTAATACAAAATTATTGTTATCGCATTAATCTGGAACCTGCCGGATTTTCTGTCCCACCTACAGTGACGTCCGGAAACGGTTTCCGAAGCTATTGCGATTGGTGAGTATGTAAAACGAATAACCAAAAAAATATGGAAAGAACATTTTTATAATTAATATTTTGCACCCAACAACAGGATGGAACGGAGTTACCGCGACCAATCGTGTTTGACGTGGTTGATGAAGCGGCCAAAGCGCCACCGCCGCAGAGGATGTATGCCTCGAGTCAGAATGCGCATGAGATCGCCAGCCAGTTCCTTCAACAATATTTCACGATATTCGACAGCGACACTCGTCAGCCGCTGTTGAATGCGTATAACGAGCACGCGTGCTTTAGTTTAACGATCACGTATACGCATTTAAAGTAAGTAATTTGCGCAATGCCTGCGATTCCTTCGCTCTTCCGAGCTTTGTAATATGATGATCGAGCGAGTTCGATGCTCTGATTGAAAACTTCTCTCGTTACAGATTGAACGGTTATCTCGCTGAAAACCGAAATTTATTCCGAGTGAATGACAGCACTAAGAGAATCAAATTGTTGAAGAACGGTAAATTACCTGTAGTATCGTTCCTCTCGGAGATGCCGCAGACCAAGCATCTTCTCGATACTTTCACGATGGATATCACGTTACCAACGGTAAGTTGCATTGAATATTTCATCTCGAAGTCCATTCATTTCACTGAGCGCTCGATTGCACAGATTACAACTAGTAGATTTTCTACACTTTTTTCTCTCTTCCATTCGTTATATATATATAAATCTTTTTGTAACATCGCTATTATATAGTTGTTCGGATCTCTCGAAGAATCTCTCGCGAAACTTTCCGCTTTCCTCCCATAGCGGTGTTTATGCGAGACTGAAAGTTCATGTCTAACCTGGTCCTCGTGTATGTTCGCAGCCGACGATGATGTTCGTAACGTTGACGGGCTATTTCCAAGAAGTCAATACTAAGGAGGAGCCCATTCGTTATTTCAATCGGACCTTTGTAATAATCCCAGAAGGTACCGGATACTGTATTTGCAACGAACAAATACACATCAGTCAGCCGACTGATGCACAGCTGAAGCAGCTGAAGAGTCAGTTGAGTCAAAGCGGACAGCCTGCATCACTATTGCCGCGAGACTCCGTGGAGCAGCAACAAGTGTCAATGGTGCCGCAAGCAGTCATAGAACAGCCAACTCCATTGGTGCCACAAATGCCGACCGAAGTCGAAGCGGCCAAGCCTATGGAGACAGCTGAATTGAGTGAAGAGATCAAGCAGCAGATGGTGGTCACGTTGAGTCAGCAAACGAACATGAATTTGCAGTGGAGCTTGAAGTGCTTACACGAGGTACAGTGGAATTATAATAACGCGCTCTCTGCATTTCAGAATTTCTTTAAGCTTGGTCAGATACCGCCGGAGGCGTTTGCGAAGTAAATGCAGAGAGCAACCACGTCGCAGCACGACAAGCTCTTGCATTCTCGTTCCTTTGCGCGGTATTTCGCGCGGATTTCCCTCTTTGTAAATTTTCCATTGAAATTTGGGGCCTCCAAGTGTTCGCTATTCGCGAAAATCTCGTATTAAACCGTCGTCAAACTCCGCAAAAATGAAAAAAAAAAATACAAAAAAAATAGGAGTATAGCAGAGGGAAATTTAATTAGCGAACACTTGGGAATTTTTCTTTTTATTTTATTTATTTTTTTTTTAATATTTCACTAATGATGATAAATGCACATGATGGATGCTGCGGAGATTTGTTAAAAATGTTTGAGCTCGTTAAAAAAACCCTCAACTGTTAAAATATAAGTGTTTCTTCCTCTTCGTGTAAATACGAGGTTTTTAAAACGAACCTACCGGTTTTTAACAAGTTTCCAGCGGCATGTAATATACTTAGTGTACATAATAGAAATGTGACGGTCGGTCACATTAACATTAAGTGCATCTGAAGTGAAATATCTCATTCCAAAAAAATTTTCGGCGCGGGGGAGGTAGAAGGATATTGTGCTGAATAATAAGTTCTTCTTTGATATTTCATAAAATTATTTTCCAGCCTTTATGTCGCTATGCATGATAGTAAAAATAACGAAAATACTTTAATTTCGTGCATACACAATGAGATGTTACAGAAAATCTAGATAATACGATGCTGCTGGTGCTTGTCTCTCAAGTACAGCGCACAAACGGGAAAAGAAAGCGAGAAGGATAAGAGAAATTATCCATATGTAGATTATGGGGTTTTGTACATTATAAAGAACAAAAATATTCCATCTCTTTTTTACAAAAGAATTTTTTTCTGTAACTGTACAATATCATTGTGCGTATGTGCGTGCGTGTATAGATATACATATGAAAGTAACGGAAGGAAGAACCTCATATCGAAAGTATCAAGAGAGCGTGCGCTTTCTTCCTTACTTTCGATATGAAATCCATGGAGATGGTTTAAATGTTATTTTTATTTCAGAACAACAAAAATATCTTCTTCTATATAATACCTACGCATATGCCAAAAAAAAAAGAAAAAACAAAAATAATGAGGTTTCTTTTTAAGTATATCTAAGTTTACGGTGAACACAGTCACTAGGCAGAACATTTTATATTGCGCAAGACATAAGTTGTCGATAAATTATTTGGTTTTCCGCAAAACTATATAATACTTAAGTTAAAACAGGCCGATGAAATAATTACGTCGCTACGCATACATGATACTCATTAAGGTCCTGAAAAAGGGCCGTCTCTCGAATGCGTTACGTCCGATTACTTCGTGTGAACATAAATTATACGCGGTAGTTTAGATTCAGTGTTGGCTTTATTTCGCAAAGTATGCTCAAAACTATATGTGCGTACGCGGTCATATGAGATGCACAATTCGTAATATTTAATTTATACAGAACAGTAAAGAATTCTGCGTCCCACACCATGTGTACAACGAAAAGCCTGGCGTGATGTCAGATACAGCACCAGGACGAGATCCTGGGCTGTAGTCTTCCAGTCCTGAGACTATTAACCGTGACACGCAACAGGGAAACGGATTTCATTCGATTCCCAGGCGTTGGTCGGTGTCTAGAACGCAACTGGATCGGTTTCGTTGCAGTTAGACTTTGCCACGTGCTGTCTATGAAGCGGAAAGTTGCATAAGATATGCTGTGTGAAATGAGTACGGCAAGCTACAACCCCGTTGGTGTGCGCATTCAGCATGTGTGTGTGCCGCGACGATGGGTGTAGCGGTATTTCGTCTCTTGAACGTAAAAACGCTTCGTACCAAGTGATTTTGGTGTGTGGACGATACATGCCGAGATATTTCGATTAACAACTTCTTCGAGTCATGTTTATTTATGCTTAAACGTTTTTATATTACGTTTTCTTATGTCGTCAATAGCTTTTTTTGTATGACGTGATAATGAACGAATAGAAACCGGAAAGAGAAAGAGAAAAAAAACCAAAATAATTTATGTTCATACCTTGTACTCCGTATGCGCGATTGCGACATGTTTTAACAAGAGAGGCGTATAAACGTTATTTGCGATGCCATATTATACGTAATAACGCTTGTGCTTGGGTATCAAGTATGTTTCCCGATGAAATCTCAAATTGCGCTTGATTACAGCAAAGGAAAAAAAAAATCGCTCCTTCTTTTAAGTTTATTTATATCTTTTTATGTTACATTCGAAAAGTCATTAACGATATTTATGGTACGGTTCGCAAAACCGCCAGGAATGCCACCACGGATGTTGTACACGGACAAACCTTATTTGTTCGTGGATACGATATTGTAAATATAACTGGGTTATTATTAACACATAAGTGCGTTATACGTCACATACATTTATTAGTTAGGGGAGGCACAATTATGTGTTGCCACTGTGTTATATATATATATATGACATATATATATATATATATAAATATGACATATATATATATATATATATATATATATATATAATGTAAATACATCTGTATAATTATGGCATAATTTTATAGACTCTTTAATTATCCGTCTCATATGGATGAAATACATTGTGCTTGTAACATTAATAAAAAAGAAAAGATTAATTTTTGTAATTCGGAATTTTTATTTGTACACCTTATAAGTATATATCACAACAGTTGTGGAATAGAGAGATGTACAAAGTATTTCCTCTATTCGGAATTATCTGTGATTTCGTCTTTATTTATATTCTCCGTCATCTGTGAAGAATAACGTTGTATTAATTGTTAATTACCTACGGCGATGTGTACATGTGTGTGTGTGTGAGTGTGTATATGTGGTATGTTTGTGTATGTGTGTACATGTATATATCAATTACAAATCTATCACGCAATCATACCTCGTTCTCTTTTAAAGCAGTCAGTTCCTCCTTCATCGATCTCTTGAAGAAACCCGTCTGCAATTACAAGTGCACGTTCGATCAAAATATTGTCTTTATGTTTCGCGAGAAAGTAACTGATAACATCATAAACGAAACTGAGGGACTCACCATGCACAATAAGATAACGACGATACACAACAGTATTAGGCCTAACGAGACTGAGACGAGCACTACCCATAGTTGCAGCTCCTGCGTTTTCTCGGTGCTGTGAAATTCCGTCGTGAGATTCATGTCGCGCCTGTTAATACATAACACCACTAATTAATTAAATCGCGATCCATCGAGTGTGGTTAACGATTTACGCGGAGAGGCGTTTCGCATAAGTGTTCACCTGGTGTCCTCCGCGCTGACGATTCTGTCAGCTGGCTGTATAATCTCGACATGAGCTTCCGTGCCGAACTTGACGATCTTCGTTTCGTCCGACAGTCCGATAGTGTCTTGAAATAGGAGAGAAAAATTACAAGAGAAAGATACAAACGCAGATAAATGATCCCGTTAAAATATTTTTCATATATAACTATACATAGAAATATATATCCATAAATAAAAATATATAATTATATGTAATTATATATGAAAAATTTTTTAACGGGATTGCATTTTGCACGCGCCACCGAGCACCTTTGAGCTTCGTGGCGTTGAGAATCAGCTTCACCACCAACTTGCCGACATCCTGTTGCGTCTTCAACTCGCTCAGGTCGCAGTACACGATCGAGCAATTCACGCTGGGCGTCGAGCAGTTTAGATGCACGACATCCTGTCGCGTCAGATTACCGGTTGCATTTGTCGTTCTCGCGTTGTACACTGCTTGCGTGAGGCGAGCCGCTACGTTTGTGTAGATGCTCAGGTCTCTCTTGAGCAGTTGGTGCGACACATTCGGCGGCGTCCCATTATTGAACATAGGTACATTCATCTCGGACGTGTCCGACACGATTTCGTGTTGATGCTCGTTCTGTTGCGCGTCTATCACGTCTATTCCGTGCGACGAGCAATCACGGTATCCTCCGGCTATATAAATCTGAAAGTACGTACCGTTTTATATATATTTCCGCGATATATCTCAAGTTATTCACTCATTTTGTCAGTCATTCCATTCTACGCCTATTTCCCGCCGATAATTGACTGTTCATTTATTTATTTATTTTTTTCATCCTTACCAATCTTGCTCTCTTATTCTCTTTTTCACATTGACGTGTAAATTTATCTTCGATTAACGATAAAATAAATCAGTATCTGAGAGATTATTCTCTGATATTTTTCCCTGAATTCTATTCTGAATAATCCTTGCTAACACCAGTTTCCTTCGCATGCGAAGGGGGAAAGCTGGAGAACTTTTTTTCTATAAGTGGGAAGGATATATTGAAACTTGAACGATGGCTAAGTCGAATAATGAAAGTTACTTCGAAGTTGTCAATCTCACTCTTCTTCAGAATACGCACTCTTGGCTTGTGTAGAAATATCAAGGAACTCGAGCCGTTCACAGAGGTAGGGATGCTCACGAGAAGTCGCGCTTCTTTTATCGGCGTCGCGCCGGACTTTACTGCCAGATACGTATGCTGGAAGCTCACGTTCAATTGTTCCTTGTCCAAGTCGGGTAAATAATAACTTTCTTCGTTCGCTTTCCTATAATAATAAACGACAAGTCGATTACAGTCATTACGGGTTATTTGTTCCTATTTTTCTCATAGCGAAATCGATCAACCGCACTACACCGGATTGGTGTATCGCACATTAAAGGACGCTACACTTAAAGTATCCAAAGTGAACGGAATGTGCAAAATCGACGCATAAGACAACATACCTTAAAGAAATATCTTAAAGATAGTTTAAAGTTGTTTTATACGTTGATTTTGGACATTGGTAATCGATAATTCGCCATTAGGTGGCGCAAAATAAACCGACCCGTTCAATGAGAGGAACGCTTCGCTCTGCAGAGTGAGCGAGGATTTAATCGTACGCGTGCCACGGTTCACGCTACGAGTCTGTATCTCCGTGATGAACTCCAAAACGTGTCCGTGTAGCGAGCCGTCGGTCAGATGCCTCATGTCCAAATCCAGCTTCACGATTTTCTGCGAACGAGTTCAGCGATAGATTTCACTCAGGGGAAGAGAGACTCTTCGACGACCCTCTCGGTCGTCGTGACTCGATCGTTCTTACCAGCTCATCCTTTCCGAGTGGATTGCCGACGCTGCAGGTGACCGTCAAGTTGTCCCCGACCGTGTCCTCCTGGCAAGACGGCAGGATGCTGCGCAGGACTATGCCACGCGGGAGGATGAACGCGACCGTCGTGAGATACGCTGGCTCAGCGTGGTTCGTCAAGGACGCCTCTAGAGTGATGTCGTTGGATCCGATCACCCACGAATCATTATTCCTGCAATTCGGACCTTCTTAATCCTTCGAATAATCCAAGTCTTTCAGTTAAAAAATGATGAATGTTTCGTCATCTTACACCTGTAAATCTATTCAGTAACAATTGCATATGATTATATATAATCTTATATGATTACATATGATTTCGATTATATATAATAATTTTGAGCCAAATCGCTTTCCACGCAGCGATATTTGAGTACTCACGTATTCTCTACTTGTCTGACTCCCGAAAACCTCACAATGGCGGATATGTTGGAATTGCAGACTCTGTCCGCCCCGCATCCGATGTCGAAGGAAAGCAAGGCCTGCGTACCCTTCGACGCGTCGCTCTTGCACTCGACGGGACAGGTCGGGCAGAAGTCGCTCTGCCGTGAATCTTGGTGCGTGAAATTGTGCAGCGCGTAGATAGTGATGGGTTCGATGAAGTCTTGAATGTTTTTCTGAGACATTGGGAGATCATCGGTATCAGCGCGTCATCGATCAGCAACCGAGAACCGCAGTGACGCAGTCACGCAACTAATGGCCCGTTCTTCCTAGCCAAACTGGTTGCACCAGTTCGAAAAGTTGATATACACATTGAAGCTTGTGAAGTGCACGCACGTAATTCTCACGCTTCAGTGGGCGTAGATTTCTGAACTAGTGCAGCCAGTTCGGCTAAAAAGAACGGATCACAATATAACAGAACCGTGGCAATGTTTGAATCTCCCCTACAATCGCGAGTGGATCACTTTCGACTCGGCCTCTTTTTTGTGACTGTCCGTGGATTTTTTGAACATTATGATATTGTTTGATGACAAAAGAATCTACAAGCGGGTCTAAAAATGATTCAGCCGCGGTTCCAGTGCTAAACGAATCCTTACCGAAAGTGTAACAGGCGTGTTCACACAGTTATCGTGCGAGATATTCGCCGAGGGCAACTTGATTAATGTCTGTTCGGTACGCTTGTGACTCTCGTCCACGGTAAGAGAGATCTCGAAGGCTGTAAATTGAAGATAAATTGAAGTTTACATAGACGGAAAAAAAAGTCTGGCTGTGTTAATCGGAATGAGGACAACCAGGTGCATTTTGATTGAGGGAAACGGAACTTCTGCTTGTGGAAGGATCACATTTCAGCCGTAAGAACCAGAATTTCTGTTCCCTTCAACCAGAACGGCGTCTGGTTGTTACTTTCCTGGTTAATGCAACCGGATTTTGTTTCTCCCGTATACGCGATAAGAAAATTGTTACGCGACAAGTTGACGGATTAACCACTTTGCGGTTCACCTTGCATCCTCGCCATGTCGTAGCCGCTGTATTGTACGCACACTTGGACGAGAAAGTTTCGGATGTTTCTCTGCAACGTGTCCGGTACGGTGCGAATGGTCAAGCTTGTTTTTACGACCGGCCTGCTTCGTAGGATCACAGCGTGTCCGGATTTGTACGCGCCTACCGCGATGTCCGCGTACCTGTACGATATTATGAAAAAAGACAGCACATAATTAAATGAAAAATCGAGATCGTGTGATACGATTTTCTTGCGCGGGAAAATTTCTATCGTGTGATTCGACGTGATCCCGGACAGCATAAACCGTCTGAGATAAGGCTTATCACACTCATTGTAAATTCGAACTTAGACATTTGTGCGGCCGTCTGGGATTCAACGTGACTTTACCGACCCATTGCCGTCAATGTCGACCGGTTCCGCAATCGAGAACCCGAACGTCCGTATGTCCAACTTCTCCGGGATGGTAAACGAGGGCAACTGCATCGTGATCCTTTGCGATGCGGTGAGTTTCATATTGTCCTTCAAATTAGCGTCGCCGTTGTATATGTAAATCGCTCCAGATTCCTCCCAAGGTGCGCCCACTATGATATCTGAAGTTCAACAAGCGCGTCATTATGAGACTCGTACGAACTCCTCGCAGAGGAGTGTTCGAGCCGCGATATAACAGCGATAATTACCACTGAAGCCATCTTTGTCCAGATCGCCGCACGCAACGGCATAGCCGAAGAGCGCATCCTCGTTGTCGCCTTCCAAAATCGCGGACGCGTCGAATTTGCCCTGCATCAAGCAAGCGGATCTTGAAACACCTCGTTCATTCGCACGGGTCACCTCCAATTTTGTCGTTAACGCTCTTGCAGGTGCTAGATCGACTAGTTTCAAAATCGACCGAGCACACTTTCCAAGTTTTTAGATCGTAAACCGCGCAACTTAGAATCTCTCGACGTTACGATTAGCCGTTTAATTAATCACATTGAAGCACGAGATTCTCGTCGATTTTCAATTCACCGTTGATTCTCGGAAAAAGTCGGGACACACGACAGAAGAATCGCCCGTTAAGAAATATTTCATACATCTTTAATACGCATATTTATACATGATTATGTATGAAATATTCTTCAACGGACGGCGATCCCTGTGGGATTCGCACGGAATAACGGAAGCTCACCTTACGTGTGCCTAGGTAGACGTGAACCCTGCCGTTATCGTTTTTCCAGTGTGGCGCCCCGACGACGAGGTCGTCCAAGCCGTCTTTGTTTAAGTCACCGCTGGCCAAACTCGCACCAAAATACTCGCCCGTGCTGCTGCCGCTGATATTCGCGACCATGAATGGCCTTCTGTTCTGATCGAGTATGGCAACCTGCGATTGAGAGGAGTTAAAAACGCGCTTACCCTCTGAAAAGCGAGATCCTGCTGCCGAGTCAAGTAAATGGCCACGCTCAGCGGAACGTTTAATTTGCAACTGGCTGGAAATTTCCTGAGCTGAGATTGAATTCTTTTAGATTTACAGGAATAATCCGGTGAGCAAGAAACGTTAAATCAAATCTTTTGAAACATCTTATGTGGACTTCATAAACATTTTGACACAATGCCGTGTAGCACAAATATTCTAAAGACACTCAAGATATGTCCGAGAGATGTTCGAATATCCCTGGAACGCTTCTAGGACGTCTATTGAACATTTGTGCTATGGGGGAATATTTTATAAATATTTTTAAACTGTTACTTGATGATATAATATTTCTAAATGGTAAAATCATAATATAAATAGTTTTCAATATTTCGGCCAAATATTGTCAATCACATTATATATAACGTATTTGAGAACGTTAAACGTTATAAAATATCAATGTAACAATGTTTGCGCGTATTAACGATTTCTTGCTTACTGGAAAACTAACGTCAGCACAGGAAACTTCCAATATTTATCAAATAAATATTCTGCTGAACGCGACTAATAGGGGGTAGTTTACTTGTCCCATATGGTTCCACGATGGATCCCCGGAGGCGTACAGCATTTGTGTCGGGCTGAAGTAATATCCCGCAGTTGTCGAGTAGCCTGCAATTCAGAGCGTCACGTCAATCTTCGAATGCGAACGTTTCGTTCCTTATATTCCCAGATAGTCAAGCATTCAGAAGCAGGTTTCGCGCATTGTCTGCTGTATAAACTTTGCCGGCGGTTCGCTAGCAGAAATACAACAGGATCTGCTGATGTAAGTAAACGTATTGTGCCGAAATGATGTATGATTCCGTAATATTATATCTCGTAAATATTAGATGTGCGCCTAAAAGTTTCAGCTTTTCGACCATGTGAAAATGAAGCGAAAGCGTGCGAAAAGAAGAAATAAATTTTCGCACACACCTAATAAATAAATAAATAAATAAGTTACTGAGACTTCCGTACCGAATCGCGACGTACTGTCGAATATCGGTATGTTCGTGGTTTCTTTGTAGGTCACGTGGAAACCTGACTTCGTCAAACGCATCATCGTGACGGAACCGGTAATGACGTGATTCGGTGCTCCGATAATACGGTTGACTACGTTTCCGCTCTGCAATTGATTCCGATTAATCAGCTATGTGAAATAAGTAATAATCGCGGTCTAGGAAGCGGCGGAAAGCCGTTTCTTATTGCCGTTCCCTCCTTGACATATCGTGTTAAAGATCTACGTAAAACTGAAGACGAGACTACTAAAGGAAGAAATTAACGATTAAGAAACTAAAGATATATGTATAATAATACAATAATATTACATACTTGCGATGGCGCATAGGTAACGGAGAAACCGTACAATGGGTCGTACCACCATTGCTGGCTAAAATCTAACGCAACATAACATTAATATTCAACATCAGCTGTTCAGCTGTTCGCCTCGTCTTTCGAGTGATATTTTATACCGACTAACGTCTTAGACTGCCACAAATGTTTGTCACAATAATGCAATAGTGCTCAATGAAACTTAAATAATAAATAAAGTTAAAGTAATATCTGTTTTCTCGCTTTCTTGGTAATTTAAATTCTCAGTCCCGATAATTCTCCGGGAAATGTTAAATAACAGCAGCATTACGTCAATGTTATAATTTCCCACTCAACACAATGTAACTGTCATGTACATCATGTGTTATATTTGCATTTATATTGTTGAGTTGGAAATTATAACGTTGTTACTTGTAATAATGTTACTGCCCGTACGAAAAAAAAAACTAAAAAAAGAATGTGAAAAAATTACTGGAATACTTTTGAAGAACAATAGTAAGTTTTTAAAATATTTTCCGTACGAGTGTTACTAAATATTTTCCAAATAGCAAGGTGACGGTCAAATGACGTCTTAGTAATGTTCTAATGACGTTTCTAACGTCAGAAGCCGTTAAAACGTCATTTGACGTCACTTGTTATTAAGATCGGCGTTTGCCGGGTCGACAGATGTTTTAAGCGGTTGAATAAAAATGAAAAACGATCAGACGAGGCGAGCACTTTTTTAGCCACCGTACTCTCACATTCTTTAAAGTAATATATACCGTAATATTCGATATTGGATGTCTCCGACATCACTTTAACATTTTTGAACACGTCATTGCTGTAACACATACCGTGCATAGTGTGCACGCTTTTGCTAAATGTCGTAATAGACATGACCGTTCGAGGTGCACATATCTATAATAAAACGAATGATTAATCCGGTATCGTTGATTTCGCTAATCTCTTCGGCGAAGCGTATACCGTCAAGTAGTTGCTGGTCTTCTCGACCGATATCGCAGCGCCGAACCAGGAGTGGTCCTTGATTACACGTCCGTTCAAGTTATACGATTTGATGGCTATACGTTCATCCTCGACAATAGCCGGTTCGATCGGCACACATTTACCTAATATGTGGCACCAGTAAACCACACCGGGTTCGACGAGATCCCGCAATTGATTGCGTGTCGGATGAGTGTAGTTTCCACGAGGTGCGCCTACAATTAGCCTATCGAACGAAATCACACGTTGTCATACGGATATAAGGACTGTGCGCATAACTCTCTATATAACGATGCGTATATTCACCAGTAGATGTTTATTAGTATTCTATATTCTTTAATGTATAATTATGTTCTATGATATAGAATGTTTTGATACACATCTATCAATAAATATATGTTTTCTCGGTAAAGAAATAAAATAAAAATATAGAATGTTATGGAGTATTATTTCTTAATGTTATAGAATATAAAATATTGATGAATATCCTACTTGACATATATATAAATATATAAATATATAAATATATATATATATAAATATATATATATATATATATATATATATATGTATTTATATTCCCAGTATTGTAACAGAAACATTTCTTGAAGTAATTAAACACAGATACAAATAAGGGAAATATAAATAGATACAGATAAATTTGAGATAAATAACTAAATATAGATGTACTGTAAGTATATATCTAGATATACTTCATGAAGTATATATTCTCATAATACAGCATCAATATCTAATTATATTTACTTCAAATTTTTATTCGTATTTATATCTACTTACATTTCGCCTTTTTCCACTACCTGTATTTAATTACTTCAAAAAATGTATCCGGTTACAACACGGTTTATATCTTTAATTTCACGCGAATGCACTCTGAGTAAGGATATTCTTCGTTTGAAAAGAGGCGGGTCTCGCCAACAGTCTTCCCGACTCCTTGCTTTTCCTTACTTCTCTAAAGAAAGCTAAACATTCAGTATTCGGGACGGAAATTACTTGTGACTCAACCTGGCCGCGTATAGTACATGTAGCACGTTTCATCGTTATGTAAAAGAATTTCAAGTAGCGCGCATATTACCATGTGGAATTATATTTTAAATCACGAAATAGTAGCACCGAGTAGCCGAAGTAACTGCGCGCGAAATTCGTGGCGCGATAATCGGCCCCGTTGGCCACCTCGTTCGGATAAAGCATCGGGTAATTCGTGTCGATATTGTATGCGGACACCGTTGCGAGATTGCATATCAACACTGCGAGAATCATCAGCAGCGCGACGAGATGTCGGGTCCGTGGCTCTCCACTGTCGTCGGGACGAACGACGACGTTACGCGTGTGAAACGCCATCGGCGAGGCGACGCACTGTGTTGGTCCCGGTTGATTGCCTTTGCTCGCGTTTTTCTTTTCTCTTTCAACTAAAAACACACAAGGAGGATGTGTAAAACGCGAGGTGTGACTCTCTCGGTCACATATACGCGACTACATAGCGCGCGACTTCATGAGCAATAGCTCATGATTCGTCATTGACTGGTTCTAATGAAATGACGGCTTGACGTGTCATCGGAGAACAGGAAGGATGACGATAAGACAATCACCACAAACCTCGTCGCTCCAATACAGACGCGACGTAATTTACTTTTTTACGACGAACAAGTATAACAAACTCGTCGAGTCGTTGGAGGTGATTTGTATAATAATTGGCACGCAAAAGGCGGTTGTTGGAAAAATATACTTTATACAATATCGTATAGACCCTCGTTCTCGCTCTCAGCTATCGTGCACGTACATTTTCCGAGAATAAATTCGATTTCCGAGACGGAAGTCGAGTCGATGGGACGGCAATTAAAACTAAATAATTTGATTGAAACAATTTACGCGGCACGTTTAAATAATTTGCGTTAACGTATGTAACTAAAAAGTAGTGAAGAGATCTTGTAATACAATGCACGATATCGCATCTGTGTGTCATGTAGTCAAATATAGTTTGTATGTTAATTTATTTACACAACTTATGCTTTGGTAAGTTTCAAGGAAGAGTTAAAAGTCTCCTTTTAAACCCACTTTAGGCGACCCACACGATTCCACTTGACAGCCCTTGAAAACAGACAAAATTTCGCGCGAAATTCTCTCATGAAGTAACAGTTGAGAATTCGCATATACGTGTATTGGCGTATACGTTCGCACATATTTGATATTCGCATAACATGGTTGATACAGATACAACACTGATCCTTCAACAATTCTGAAACGGACGTTTATATATAGATAGATACGAAGCACATATCTGGTCAGCACGTATTCAAACAGCAGCAAGCGTGACACGTTCGTCGGCTACCATTGCGAAATTCGGATGTGGTCTCAAAAAGTGCGACGCCCGCGATGAAAATAGAACATCTCCCTCCGGATGTTGTTGTAATTGATACTCGGCTATAGCGGGCGCTAAACCAGGCACAACGGTTCGATCAAGTCGAGGTATCTTCGGGCTATTCACACGATGATCCCTCTTTGCCTGAAGCGGATCATCTGCTCCCTCGTCGAACGTTCGTAGAACTTGATCCTCGGGTCCGTCGCGGGTAACGTTGGGCACTGAAAATGAAAATAAGTACAGTAACAGTGCGACGTCCGAGCGGTCTGCAAGATGCGCGCTGGCACGAAGAACGATGTCGACGCGAACGATGTGAGCGGAATAACTTACTCCCGCGTCGCTTCGCATCTTCAACGCTCTCGACATCAAGTTGTTAATATTCTTCTCTCTGTCGCCGTGGGAAGGATGCGACGATACCCACGGTACCGGTGACGGCAGAACCTCCATCTCCGTCAGCATTCTCATCGTGGCCCAAAACACAACAGCCTCGCGCACATCGATACAGGCCTGCGTCGAGAATTCGTACACATTCGTACAAGCAAGTTTCGTGTATCAGTATTGCACTAATATTTCCGCGTAATTTTGCGGAATAATAAGTTACGAAATGTTCGATTACTAGAGGTGATATCTCGCGTACTTTTGCCGACAGTTGCATCGCTACTTCATCCGCTTCCTTCTCCAGAACTCGGTTATATGGAAGTTGATGCATAATGTTTATCGTCCGATCCACTATCGTATGAACAATGGCAGCTGCCATATCAGGGAATATCATCCAAATTAATAATATTGGTACTGCTATTAGAAAGTCCAACAGTAATTGATCGGACAACATCTCAAGCTGTTGGCAGAAATCATCGATTATCTCCGGACGTTGCGGAGTAATTGCGATACGTTTGAAAATGTGTATTCTGCTTGTACACGTGTTATCATTATTACTTACCCCGTGCGAGAGCAATGAATGAGCCATTTCATGAGCCAACATGAATCCCAATTGGTCGTTATTTTCGACGTACTTTAACAAGTCCAGGGAGATAAAAATATTTCCACCCTAAGGAAGGAAATTGTATGAAAGAGGAAATTTGACGTGACAAAATTGACAATGTACTTACTGGTAGAGTAAATGAATTTTGCAATTCTGCATCGATGAGAGTTACATTCCACTTTATTTTCTCCATCGATTTTAAATCACTATTCGCCGTTACAAGACTTTCGAGTATCCTTCGGATTCTCTTGTAAACGGGATGATTCCTTGATACTATTTGACTTTTAAACATTTGTAGTTGCTGTACAAGCGCAACGGGGAAAGAATCAGATATTTATCGCGTGTAACATAAAGAAATCATAGAAACTTTTTTGACATACATATATTTTAGATTATATTTACTTACAGTTTTATAAAGCTTATTCGCCAGATCTTTTTCCTGTTCCTCATTGAAGATTATGAATTTTGAACGTTTCGTCACCGGATCAATCTTGATGTGAATTACGTAGTAAATAAATACCATCAGACCGTAAAGTCCAAAACAGCCTTGCGAACAAAAGTTATGGTCAGTTGTGTGATACGGATGTGTGACAATTATTCAAATTATTGAAATTTCTCGGAATTTACCCAACAACACATTGCGATTCTCCCTGTACCATTGCTTGTACTTCTCCTTTTCCTCATTAGATTTGCGTGTCCACCACTTCTTGACGCTACGTCCCATAAGAGCGGCACCGATGTGTATGACAGGGCGCAGAAGATAAGCCACGATCGGTGGAATGTACAAGCGCTGCGTGGTGCGGAAGTCGCATCTTTGCAGTTTCAGTAGATGCTGCGAGCGTCCGCAGTTAAATTTATCCTGAACAAACTTCTCGCGCGACCACCACGTATGAAGATGACGGTTCTCCACGGAAGAAACGACAAAGTGGTTTGCGCTCAGCCGAGCATTTCTTTGATAAGAGTTTCTTAATACAGACAACATGTTTCAAAGCAGAACGCAGTCCCGAAACGCAATAATTCACATCCACGATGCGAATGAAGGTAGAAAGCAGTTGTGTGATGCTGAACGCAATGCTATGGGGGGGGAAAAAAAACTGAACATCAACAGATCAACTTGTACAAGGTGTGTGCGAGGTTCAACGAGAAGAATTACACAAGTAGAATAAAGTGAAATAAAATAAATACAAGTGAAATAAATTAGTAATAATTTAAAAACCAGCTGTCGAGCATTTGCAAAACCAGCAATGGAATCGAAACTTGTACGTTACATATCAAGACAAGAGTTGTCAAAAGTCTTTCGGAAGAAATAATAACTGAATCATTAATGGTTTCACAGAAACATTGTGTCTATATATAGACAAGCGTGTGTGTCTGCTGTGTGTGTGTATCTGCCTAGTTATATGTAATCGACGAAAGCTGTCAACAGGAGTAAGCACACGCCGAGTCGCGCGTGATAGTTAAACATTATCCCGCCAGCTATGCCGTACTTGAGCGCAGAGCACAACATCTTCCTCGAGAAGAATATCGTTATCAGGTGCAGCCAAGTTGGACGGCGCTGAACTCGTCGAGCGAGGTGCGACGGATTTTCCGGCGCATAAAGCTCGTTGCTATCCGAACGAGTCGTCGTCGTTGTCGTCCACCAACTTGTGCCCATTCGATTGCGATTTTGGATCTCGACTTGATCATTCGACAGCTTCGCTTTGTCACCAGCCAGAATGACCGTTTCGAGATCACAGTTGTCGTGGAAGTGACGTTTGCGCACCTGAGACGAGATTCGACGGGATAGCGAGTGCAATCAGAACGACGGGAGCAGCTGGTGGCAGCGGTGAAGAGATCGTTGAGGAACTCGACGGGGAACTTTCGTTCGCATCACTTCGCTCGTGGGTCTTCTGGTCGCAACTTTAACTCACGTCGACGGTCGTGCGTCAATTTCTGTCTCTCTTTCGATTCATCGTCCGTACGCAATTATATAAAACCGGTATAACCTAAACGAAAGGTAGCGATTATCTCCAACAGCTTACGTAATTGTGTGAGGTAATAATTTTTATTCGAAAACATACCTGCTGTTCGCTCGTGCCATTGACAAATAAAATTTCTCCCGATCAGTCGCTGAGTCGAGCCATTTGAGAGGCGAAAGATCGGTCGATCCGCAGCTGCAGTGCGTGTTTGAAGTTGAAACGGTATTCAGCTTGTCCCTTGAAGGATGAACTTTGTGTATTGGGGCAAGATAAATATCGATTTGTTCGGTGGGTGGTGAAATTCGTCTTAAATTTTTAGCCAACTTATTTTAGTCTTTTCAAGACTAACTAAGCCAGTGTAGAAATCAAATTGTTATTAACGATAATTATTATCGATATTAATTATTATAGGAATTAAATCTTGCCTATTTTCCTCGACCGCGAAAGACAGGCAGAATTCTTGCACTCTTTGTAAAAATATAAAATCTCGAGATCTGTCAAGTGTCATAATTTTTCATAAAATTTGTCGAACTGACCGGTGAATAGAGAATTATATGTAAATTACATGTAAAAGTTTATACCAAATTTTCCTAAAACTTCCTCTTCAATTTGCATATTCTCTTTTATTTGCAATTTACACGCAGATTGCGATTTTTTCATCCGTCTGATTTGGCCTGTTATTTTTAAGAGCCAATAACAGGTCTAAGTAAGAGGTGTCGAAGTTAGACCCGTTATTTTTGTAAGTTAGTTCCAAAGTCTCCGCTACGAGCCGCTAGTATCCTGTGTTTGAGAAATTATAGTTCATGCCACGTATTCTATGGATTTGTAGCACTTGCAGTGAATATATCGGAACACAGCCGTAATTGTCACAAAGTGACGTTGTCGCTGTTGTAGCATTATTTTTATTCACCGTCCTAACCTCACAAATCGCATCGCATGGCGTGACCGTATGTATGAGTGACCGACTTCGGTATTCGAGTTCTACTCAAGCATTATGTCAATCTACCACGACGAGGTGGAGATCGAAGATTTCGAGTACGACGAGGACGAAGAGATATATTATTACCCGTGTCCTTGTGGTGATCAGTTCCAAATATCGAGGGCCGATCTGATCGCCGGCGAAGAGGAAGCCACGTGCCCTTCTTGTTCCTTAGTAGTTAAAGTGATCTATGACAAAGAAGCTTTCGCCTCCAAGCAGGAAGAGTTCGCGAAGAACGAGGAGAAGGAGTTGGTAGCGCAAGAAAGTTAACAGTAAGTAATTTCGCGCTTTTGATAAATGTCCACATCATTAGTTAATAAGAAGAATGATGAAAAGCTTCGAGACCGTTTGATATGGCGAATAATCGGAATAGACTATCGATCGTTGACTTCTTTCAGATCGCTTGAAAGGATACAAATTACGCAGGAACAATGGCAGGGCGCGGTAGAGGGAAGCCTACCATGTCCTTTGCCACCGAGCAGTTAGGCGTCACCAAGGGGGAACTACCAGCGCAGGTTTTGCAACCTCCGCTAGCTTACCCTATATCAGACCTCCACATTTCAAGCTTCGAGTCAACCAATGAGATTGATTACTTGGTAGAGCTGAAGAGGGACTTCGCCGAGTACATGCGGGACTCGCAGAACCACGTAATGCCGGATGTGCCGAAGAAGGATATCGAACGGTACTCGGACCATTATCAGGACACACTGACCGCGAATTTGGAGCAGGAGTCCAAGCACGACTGGAGCAGAATGCCGACGGAGTTGACACCGTCGTTGAAACGCAAAGCTGCCAACAGTCCGAAGGTAAGGAAGGCCAAGAAGATAAAATTAGAAACGAAAAGGAAGAGACGAAGAATCGAGGACGAGAACGAGGAAAACAAGCAGGCCGACAAGGTGGAGCAGCAGAAGGACACGAAGCAGGCGCAAGGCGCCCTGGAGAAGGAGATCAAGGAGGAAGAGGAGGACGAGGAGGAAAACTCGGAAGAGGAGATAGAACAGTACGAGGTGGACGAGGAGATGGACGACGGCACCGACTACGTGAACAATTACTTTGACAACGGCGAGGCTTTCGACGACGAGGACGACAATCTCGAAGACGGGCCTATTTATTAATCTCGGTGACGGTCGATGTCGTAGTCGGGATTCGAACACTGACACGCCAGCCGCACACATAACTCAATGCCGTGTACGATGTGTAAAGTTTTTCTTTTATTATGCATCATCTCATACGCCGTTAATTGTATATAATAACATTGCCTGGACATGAAGATCGATTGGTGCGCGAGTATTACACTGGGGACAAAGGTCGCTCGCGTGGCTCACTGGAATAAATGCAACCCGAATGTAATGCACGGTAGAACTTCTGTGTCTCTTTTCCTATTTATGCGCAGCTGAGGACGAATTCTCTCTTCGGTGACACTGTGTACGTGCGTATGTATATATGTATGTATGTATGTATGCATGCTGTAATATGTATATGTGTGTTGAGTATGCTAGTGTACCGGAAATAACGAAACTTTTACGTGCTATTTCATGAATGCGATTGTTTATTGCAGTCCTTTCGCCCCCCTTCGTTACGTGAGAGCACGGGGGACCGGGGGG